GGGATGACTAGACAATCAAGAAACTATATATAAGGTACGAGCTACCACACTACCATGAGAGACTATACAACAAAAACCAGGCGACAAGGCCAACCAAACTATACACAAGTCGACACCTGTCTATGAGCCTCTAAAGGAACAAAAGTGTTGCAACATAGCCGGAACAGGGCCCCGACATACCCATAATATCTATAACAAAAATGCATACCAAGACCAAGGCAAGTCCGAAGAAGGGATCTCGCCAATCACCGCTGAACTGGACAGCCTACTATGGTGGGGGAGCTGCGCCTGCCTCTCTATCAGGACCTGCAGCACGACATGCAGCGTCCACAAATAAAAGGACGTCAGTACGAATACAGTACTGAGTATGTAAGGCAGGGAACCATAAGTACGAACAGTAATGTAAGCAGGGATAGAGAATAAACAACCTGTAACATCTGGGTACCTCTGAGGGCTACTGACATGAAATGCGTGATACATATGTATATATACATAAACTTTTAAAACATACGCCTCTGTGGGCATCATCATCATCATATCGTACCCGGCCGTAATAGGCTCGGTAAAAACGTACCCGGCCACGTGGAGCTCGGTAAAACCCAACTGATCAGTGGTTGCACAATAAGTGCCGTACCCAGCCGACTATAGCGCGGCTCGGTACAGTAAAATAGATACATATATATAATGCATGCTCGACTCATGGACTCACGTTCTAAACCTTTCGGAGTGACGTAAGGTCGGTATCCTCTGTACACGTTATTAGGACTAACTCTTCACCATGAACCTTATAAGAATCAGGAAGTACCAATAACATTGATAACATAAGAATAAGAGAAGCAACATCAACATCAATCGTTCCATAAGAGGGGAAACAATGTAAGTACTGCTAGCTTCTAAGAGTAGAGTATCTTTGGAAGCTCGTTCATTACATTATGTACAATCGGAGTCGTGCAAAAGAAGGAAAGGGATAGCCTCACATACCTTGTATATACTGCCCCAATCTCAAGCTATGCAATTTTCACGACTCCTTAGTCTACAATAAGAGAAACGATACTATAGTTACCATTCAAGCGTCATAACTATTATGTATCGACCACAACCTATTTTACGATGAAACGGACAGCACCTCCCCTATATATATGACTTCACACAATTCCAAACAATCACCAAACAGCCCAAATAACACCAATAATAATCATATTGAGCCTCCCAAAACAGTCCACGCACAACCAAATCACTTCATACATACGACGGCCACCGTAGTCGTGTCAAACGACCCGGAAATGTTACGAAGAACTACCAGCCCACAACCCTACATCTATATGGTGTTTCTCCACACCCTTCCTCCTCCAAAACTCCACAAAACAGTAGTAAAACACGCAGCCCAACAGCAACACAAAACAGTCCACAAAACAGTCCGCTACAAGTGAATAACTCGAACTCACGGCTTCCGATCACCGTCCCGTGAGTTCTTACATGTATAGAACGAATTACCATGAATTCACAGCAGAATAAATGCATGAAAGATAGCAGTAAACTCACCTTACTTGTTGGATAACTCAGCCCTTATCTTGGTTCTTCAAACTCTAGGGTTTACCCCCAATTTGAACTTGAAAGAGAGGGAAAATCAATTAGGGTTTGTGGATAATTTTTGGGAGGAAGTTTGCAGGGGTTTAGGTCTGGTTATTTGTGAAATATAATGAGGGATATATTGCAGAGGATAAGCCTTTTAATGGGCTCTTTGTATGACCCGAAATTGCCTCTTTTTGGGCTATCATTTAACCAAGTAGGTGACCCACCTACTTGTCACCTAGCAGCTTGTGCAGTCTCGCAAAAATGTCTATATCTCTCTACTCCAATGTCGTATTGATAAAAAGTTTAATGCATTGGAAACTAGACTCATAGATCTTCAATTTGGTGGGTAGATCACCCCGTAATTCCAAGTATATTGGGAGAAAAGCTTAATAACATTTGACCTAAAGTTTAAGTAAAACTATGAACTTAAGTTGCAACAACTCTTGTCGACTTTTGTTTCATAACTCGTTTGACTTCAAGACTATGATACGGATATTTTATGATTCATATACCTTAAAATATGACCTCTTGATAGTATTAAGCACCCCTAGGTTTACCCAAAAATACGGCTGACAACATCCTTGATTCGTTTAACTTCTAATACTTGTTAACCACCCTTATACACCTTTGTATCATTTAAGACCAATAGGATTAACCTCTTATCATCTTAAAGATAATCTCTTCATGGATTTACGTCGACGACCTTATGGCATGAACTAACGTATGTGAATATGGGTTGTAACACGAGCGGAGGCCTTCAACGCATTGAAAGTGTTTATGTCTAGTAGCCCCGTCTTGGCCCTCCTTGATTTGGCTAAGCCATTTGAGGTACAAACGGATGCCTCCGACTATGCCCTTGGTAGAGTCTTGCTATAAGATGGGCATCCTGTAGCGTACGAGAGACGGAAGCTGAAGGATGCAGAGCGGCGCTATTCCGCCCACGAGAAAGAATTATTGGTTGTTGTCGTTCATTACTTACGCCTTTGGAGGCACTATCTGCTGGGAACCCCATTCATGGTCAAGAGTGACAACACAGTTGTTAGTCATTTCATGACCCAACCGAAGCTGAATGGTCGACAGGCTAGATGGAAGGAACTCCTAGCGGAATTTCACTTCAACTTGGAGTACCGAAGTGGGAAGACTAATCATGTTGCTGATGCGCTCAGTCGGAGAGCTGATGTAGCATCAGTGTGCCTACTTGCCACCCTAAGGGGGAGCGAAGTAGCCACCACCATATAATATCATATACATGATCTACTCATCAAGGATCATGCTACACAGTATTTGGTTGATTTGGTAGGACAGGGCAAGACTCACCAGTTCTACATGGAAGATGGTTTCCTGAAAGTGAAATGAAACCGACTTTATGTTCCTAAAGGAGGAGATCTGCGAAGGACTCTTCTGGCGGAATGTTACGATACTTTGTGGTACGGCCATCCAGGTGAAGAACGCACCATGGCATTACTTCGCCATACATATTATTGGCCTCAAATGGTCGATGACGTCGCTCAGTATGTGAGGACTTATCTAGTATGCCAGAAGGACAAGTCGGACCGTTTGACACAAGCGGGACTCTTGGAACCACTGGTTGTCCCAAAGAGACCTTGGGAAAGCGTTTCCCTGGATTTCATCACTAGATTGCCCAAGATCAGAGATCTCACAACTATCTTGGTTGTCGTGGATCGTTTTTCCAAGTATGCTACCTTTATAGCAGCCCCACAATACATATCAGTAGAGGATACAGCTCGACTCTTCTTCTCTCATGTCGTCAAATATTGGGGCCTGCCTAAAGACATCGTTAGTGATCACCACTCACGCTTCACTGGCAACTTTTGGACCCAACTCTTTAAGTGCCTCGGGTCAAAACTGAGTCACAACTCAAGTTGGCATCCGCAATCTGATGACCAAACGAAGCGGTTCAATGGCATGCTGGAGGAATATCTCCGCCACTTTGTAACCGGATCACAGAAGAATTGGGTGAAGCTTCTGGATGCTGCTCAACTGTGTTTCAGTTCACAAAAGAGCTCTAATACAAACAAAAGCGCTTTTGAAATTGTTACCGGATAGCAACCGCTACTCCCACACACCATGAATGCACCAAACATGTCAAAATCTCCTCGAGCTGCTAGCTTCCCAAAATAATGGAAGCAAAATTTGGGGATAGTGCGGAGCTATCTTGTCAAAGCCCAAAAGCGGATAAAGAGGCATGCTGATCAAAATCGTCGCTTTGTTGAATACCAAGTAGGATACAAAGTGATGGTCAAAATTCCAAAGCGGTACTTGTTTGCAGGGGTCCATGACCCTCGCCTATTGCAAAAATACATTGGACCCTTGTCCACTGAAAGGCGCATTGGGAAAGTTTCATACCGGGTGGATAACCCAGCTTGGTGGAAAATCCATCCCGTTTTCCATGTCAGTTTTCTGAAACCTTTTCGGGAAGATATGGAGGATCCTTCACGGAGCCAACTCACAATACCCAGTATTCGGGACCCCAACTCAACTGGGAAAAGGCTTGCTGAAGCTATTCTTGATGATCGAGTTATTCACGCCTCAAGGAAAGATCACCAAGAGTTCTTGGTGAAATGGCAGGGCTGTGATGCAGAGGAGAATACTTGGGAGAGCGGAACAAACCTCAAAGCCTAAAAGAGCCTAATTGATGATTATCTTGCAAGTACGGTGCCGAGGACGTCGCCACTCAAGTGGAGGAGAATGTCATGGGCGGCTTTACATCCATGCTGCATGACCCCTTAGACGCGCCCCATGGCGTCCTAGCAAGCCTCCCAATGCCTAGCGCCATGGACGGATTCGTAGTCTTGGCTGCGCCAAGTGACAAGCGCGCATATGCCTCTGTCGCCCCACCGATAATCCTCGCCAGCGCCCAACCGCAGGCAGATGCCAACATTGCCGCACGTGCAGACCTTGATGCCAAAGACAAGGTTGCTGACAACGGACATGTTTCTACCTCGTAGAAAACTAAGTCCTTTTCATTATAAATATAGAGTAGTTTTATTTCATGTACTTCCATTATGATTCTCTAGCTTAGTTAGGTCAAGTTTTGTAACTTTGATTTATTTTTTTAAGCACTATTAGGGGGGATCAAGCAATCAAACTTTCTAGCAAGCAAACAATTCTTTGTACTGGTGTCTCCCCCCCCCCCCCCCGACACCGTGTTGCTTTTCTAAAATAGCTTTCATTAATGCAATCAAGCTTTCTTTCATTCTCAATTCTCATTTTTGTTCTCTCAATTGCTCTTGACATTGGTTTTCCCGTACGACACTGACAATCTCGTCTAGCATACGGAGGGGACCCTAGTTGGCGGATAGTAACTATACTGACATCAGTTGCTTAGCCTTACGTCGCCATTCCAAGGAATCTCAGGAAGGTGTCGCGTAACATTATAAATGAGAAAAGAATCAATTAATCCTGAATTACATAGGATTTACTATCAATACGTCATTAGTTACAAATCAATTATGTAACGTACAATAAATGCAATAAATGGTTGTAACGGGGAAGAACAAGGCAATCAGCGACGAAATTGACTCAACAGGTATGGGATTGACTCAACGGGTACGGGATTGACTCATCAGTTACGGAATTAACTCATCTGTTACGAAATTCCAGCATTTACCCAGTTGTTACAAGTCTTCCAAAAGTAACGAATGGATTGAGTAAATGCTCATAATGAACCCATAATCCAAGGAGAATAGTTAACTAGATCTAGTTCAACAAATAGAGACGGTTTACCACCATTGTAACCATCTAATTTTCTTCTCTACAATTCCATATATTGTAATTCATAACATCTTGCTCCCAAGTTAGCCATAATTCAGATCTTCAAGCTCTGTTCGGCTTATCATCCTATCAAGGATCATCCAATAAGAATTATTTCTTCTCTGCTTTATTTTTATTATATTATTTGTTATTGAATTTGTTTCTCACTTCTATCATGTTGTATTAGCGAAAATGTATATTTTTCGGATCGAATCGATTGCTGGTGGCCCGTCATATAAAATTAATTGCTTTGACCTTAAAAATTATTTTTTGGGTTAAGCACAAACAATAATAAAAGAAGGAAAAAAAACAGCTGATGAATCTGTAAAAGTTTTGATCAGATAACAGAATTCCTTCTTTTCTTAAAAATTTTATTCTATAGTTATCGCATTGCCCAAAAAAAAGAAAAACTTCTTATAAAGCATATGTTATTGTCATTGATGATAAATTATCGTTGAGGCCTCAATTGGGCCAAGAAGCAAACTCTTCGGTGAGGACTATGGCACAAGATAAGGATGAGTATTTTTATTCTGGTGGTGATAGATGTTTGTACAGTGGTTTGGTGGTGGTGGTCTTCCTCGACAATGGAGGAAAGAGAAAACAGAAAGGGAAAAAGAGAGAGTAGAAAAGAAAAAGAAATAAAATAAGGAAAATAAGGAAAAGAAAATATTAAAATTAAAAGGATTAGTATTACATTAAATCAACTAATAGGTGTAAATAAATGTAACGACCAATAAAATGATGACAGGTGAAAATTTTGGTCAGCGTTTAAAAATAAATTCACCTTCTCGCGCGCCTTGAATAATGTGAAATCAATTTCTTTGCTAATTCACCTTTTAGTGATATTAAGCTAGTGTTTGACTATATATTTCCAAATTTCTTTTAAAATTTTGATTTGGGTGAATTTGGTTTAAAGATGAAAATTTATTTGGACATAATTTTTAAAATATACTTCACTTTTTCTTTTTTGAAAAAACATAAAACGTGACTTTTATCCATAAGTTTTAAAACTATCTAAAATATCCAACAATTCTAAAGAAAATTCATATAAAACAAGCAAAACAAATATGAAGAAAATCTATACAAACATTAGCATATTTTAGCAAATTACCTTCAAATTTTGTCTTTGTGCTGGAATGCCACAGATTGGCACAACAACTTTGACGAATGTTATCTTTTGTTTATAAAGAAGGGCAAAGCCGTGTGAATTTAATGAAGAAAAAGTGGGTAGATATTTTGGTTCTAACAATTACCCAGTACTTACCTCTCCCTTCTCTTCCTTTTCTCAGAAGAATCAGCTGCGAGAGGTCTCATCGGTTATGAATTCCCATTTTGCGGAAGAACTCTATCAGCATCATATTGCTGCACTCTTCGGGTAGACAACACAAATACAGAATGTTCTCTTCGGGTGGTCGGACTCGAGGCACCCCTTAAGCGGCAACCCCGAGATATCCGCGACCCGCCATTTAATACGATCGGGGGTCATGATTTTATTCTCTTAATTATATGCAACTCTTATATTATAACGTTTAGGAGAAAATATATATAAGAAGCAGTTACAATTAGATTAGCCTATAAATGCAATCCCGTCTCCCATTATTGTACCACGGAGAAATTGTAACGAATCGAATAACAACCAAACCAACTAGCTATATTGATTCACTGAACGGACTTATAAATACTGGAAATTACAATGAAACAGTAAAGGATAATTGAGAGATAACAGAGAGGGATGAAAGGACAAAAATACACCATAGAAGAAGGGAGATGAGAAGCTTAGACAGAGAGCAAGGAGATGAGAGGAGCAGACATTTTCTTCTTCAAGAATAGGCATAACCCTCTCTTTCTATCTGATAGTCCTTTTTTTAACCAATTGCCAAATGGGCTGGATCCCAAATAAAACTCTCAAATATTTTACTTAGTCCAATCTTTACTGACTCAGTCTCATTCACCACTTCTAGCCCATAGGCCATATGGAGTGAGCTTGGTTCATAACAGAAATACACATAAATACTAGGGGTTTTGACACAGCTACCCACAAGTAATTCTGATCGCATGGTTCATGGAAACTACTCAATTAGAGAAAGGAGGAAGGGGCCAGAGCCTAGTTCAATTTTTTCAAATAACTTAGTAAAGCTAAGCTTTTTGTGATTGAAGTCTTGACTATGGGAACAACTAGCGGGTAAATAGTTTGGGGAGTATGGGTAATAGTAGTAAATAGTTTGAGTCTGGGCATTAAAGGGTAAATAGTTTGGAATTAATAGGTATATAGTGAGGTTTTCTCTAAATACGGGGTTTTGACACAGCTACCCACAAAAACAAAATTATTTACCCTTGTCTACCCATTTATTTTCCTACCCATAAACAAATTATATTTCCTACTTGTGGGGAATTTTTTCTTTATTCTCCAATTCTTTTTTATTTCTATGCTTATTTTCTTTTCTTTTTTCTTTTTTTTTCTTTTCTCCTTTTCTTTTTTCTCGTTTTCTTCTTATTTTTATCTTTTTTTCTTTTCTAATTTCATTTAACTTCTTTTTTTTATATTCTTTTTCTCTTCATAATCTAATTTCATTTACTGTTTTTACTATTTTTTTATTATTTTTTTTTATATTATTACTAAAGAAAAATCAAATTGTGTACCAATTAAATGTAGCTAATACAACCAAATAAATATTAACTAACATATGATACCAGTATAGTATATAGTTATACCAACAGGGTATACAATTGTACGCAATGAGTGAAAAAAAAATTTAATTTAATTATTAAACTAAAATAATATCAGTTGTCAATAAAAAAATTTAAAAATTTCTAAAAGGATCTAATTGTCAGAGTATATCATTACATCATATAGCATACTATATATTTTTTTATTTTTTTTTGCATTTTTAATTTTCCCCTCACGCTTGGTAAAAGGTTAAAATAAATTAAAAAGGAAAAGGCAAGTGAATTTACGGGTAATAAGTATACTATTATAGTATATTGTATACTATTATAGCATATTGTTACATTATCTTGCATATTATTACAGTATACCATAATAATATATTGTATACTATAATAGTATACTGTTGCAGTATAACTATATACTCCTATAGTATATTAGTATACCGTAGCGGTATATTGTTTTGTAAACTATAATAGTGTACTGTTGCAGTATAGCTATATACTCCTACAGCATATTGTATACCGTAGTGGTATACTGTAGCTGTGTTCTTCTTCGATTTTCAATTGAAAATTTCGATCTCAATCACCTCAAATCAGGTCCAAATGCTATCAAATTTCAGTATGAACTTCTAGAAGGTACTATAAGCAATATTTCACAGCACCCACTTTGAATCAAATAAAAAATCTTCAAAAATAAAATTGAGCTTCAAGCCCAACAATGGTGGATATTCAAATACACACAAAAATTCAGATTTGGGATGTAATCTGCTCTTGTACTTAATAAAGTATCCACACCATGATTTTGTAAGTTTTGTCCACATGTAATTCTGATCGCATGGTTCATGGAAACTACTCAATTAGGGAAAGGAGGAAGGGGCCAGAGCCTAGTTCAATTTTTTCAAATAACTTAGTAAAGCTAAGCTTTTTGTGATTGAAGCCTTGACTATGGGAGCAACTAGCGGGTAAATAGTTTGGGGAATATGGGTAAGAATAGTAAATAGTTTGAGTCTGGGCATTAAAGGGTAAATAGTTTGGAATTAATAGGTATATAGTGAGGTTTTCTCTAAATACTATAGCAAGACGCTGGCAGAATGATTGTGTTCATCTCTCCATTATCAATAGGCTTGAATTCGTCAATTAGAATCACTTTACTTTTCCTCTTTACTGTTATTCAAGTGCATTTGTTTATTTTACTGTCTGTTTCTCTTTATTCCAATTTCATCTACATCAAACAAAGTATTAGGTGGCTTTGCTTTAATCTCATTGCTTGCGGCATAATTTCATACATTTAATTGGTTAGCCTATCAAACGAATTGTAGGTTGAACACATTTTTCTTTTCTTTAGGTCTTTATCTAATCCTTTGATAATTTCCTTTTACGTGTAGTAAATACACTATATGGATAAATTACAATTAAGTTTAATTTATATAGTCAGCGTAAGAAAATTTTACACTATTAGTGTTTTCGAAAAAATAATATTGATGTAGCTGAAAAATCATCATATTTTTCAGATTGTATATTTCACTTTATGTAGCCATTTGTACATGTAATTATTTTATAAGTGATCTATTAACACAAAATTACTTTTATACTATCCATGCTTAAAGTTCAATTCATTACAAATATGTTATTATTAGGCAACCTTCACATATGATATGTTTAGATGAGTTTTAATTTATGCATTGACAATATAAAGTTATTTATACAGTCGGACCATATATCACACAATTAGAGTTTTTAGCCAAAATTATCCCTTATTTATTAAGATAGGTCTTTTTTGTCCTTATATACCTCTGAGTATCTTGCGTCCCTTAAGTTTGTTAAAGTGGAGCACTTTGGCCTCATTTGTTTTTTTTTAAGATTAAGACGTCTGAATCTGAATACACATCTGGATATCAAGATGTGTATTAAGATTAAGACATCTAAATCTGAATACACATCTGAATATTAAGATGTGTATTAAGATCTGAATACTAAATGATTAAGACTATTTGATTTTTAACATCTGAATGTATAAATTTATATTTATTTGAAAATTAATAAACATAAAATTCAAATAAAATACTAATTAATCAAATATTCTATCAATAAAATATATAATTTTTAAAAATATGATAGTTGTTGGTGGTGATGGCTAACGGGTGAATGCCGACTAGAGGCGGTTGTTGGTGGTAGTTTTGGTTGATGGTGGTGGTTCAAGGTAGTAGCTAGTGGTGATTGGTAGTGGTGGCGATTATGATTGAGGATGGTGGTAGTTGGTGGTGATAGTTAATAATGGTAGGTGGTAGTGATAATTGTGATTGAGAAAGGTGGTGGTGGGTGGTGGTAGGTTATAATGATGGGCAATGCTAGCTTTGGTTGTTAATGGTGATGGGGTGGTTAGTTGTGGTAGTTGAGGTGGATGAGTGTTGATTGTGGTTGAGAATGATGGCGGTGGGAGTGGTGGGGAAGGTGGACGGTGATAATCGATAATGATGGCAGCTATGATTGTGGATGATGGTGGTGGTGGTGGCGGTGTAGTGGCAGTTAATAATGGCATGCGGTGGCTGCAGCTAATAATGAATATGAATGATAGCATCTTAATGAAATTAAGTCTCTGTAATAGATCTTAATCATACAGACCTATTCAGAGTTTCAGACCCATTAAATGGCTGTGAAGTAAAAAAACACAAACACACTTAATGATTAAGATCTGAATAATTAAGATTCAGACTTTAAAAATAGCCGCATTTAATGTCTGAGATCTGAATGATTAAGATTTAGACCTTCATTAAGTGCAAACAAATGAGGCCTTAGTCTAGCTAACAATATGGGGTTAACTTGAAATAAAAGCTAACGATTGTGTAAAACCTTATAAAACCTTTTCCTACGTTCTCCATCAGTCATGATGCCTCACGAATCTAAGCTTTTTCTTAAAAAGATTTAATGTAATTTTATAGGTAAAAAAAAGTCAATTTCGTAAATCAACAGGTGTGAAACAGAAAGAAAACAAAGCCTAAGCTAGTGAGCCACAATTGGTGAAACTGAAAGGCGTTTCTTTTTCAACTTTCCTTTCTCTGTTTTTGTGTGGTTCTTTGTTTATATTTTATGGAACTTTGAAGGAGAAAGACAGAGGATATAATGCAAATTTTTGTGTAGTTTGAGGTTTCAGAGAGTTTACAGTTTGCTTCTTTTTTTGTCTTCTTGGAAATAGTTCTTTTTCCCAATAATTTTTTTTGTTTTGTGAAAACTTAGTTAACCCGTTTACAGCTCGTTGGAGAAAGAAAAGAAGATGGGTTAATTAGATATATCTGCAGAATCTGATTTAAATGCGTGAATAGATAAAATTTAAATAATGAAGGATGAATACGATGAAGAACATTCAGATTTTCAAAGCCAGATCATAAAGAAATTCAAAGAAATAGTAAAATAAGGATATAACACACAGAGCAGTGATGAATTGGCAGAAAAATCCCAATGGACAAGCTTCTTTTTTCTCCTTTGTTTCCAAAAGAGAGAAACTCAAGTGAAAAAGGTTTTGTGCTGGTCTTTGTACATGAGATACACAGGCAGGGGCTGATTAAGGGCGGCAAACGCCAAAAAATTAAGGCAAAATCTATTTTTTATCTGTATATTATGTTTTAATCCCCTTAACACAGCATAGCTTAGTAGTCAAGGGGGTTTAATCCCCTTAACACAATCTTTTTAACTTTTTTCTTTTTTTGAATCCCCTTGACGGTAATCCTGCATCCGCCACTGTACACAGCCGTTAGTTTTAACCCCAAGTTAGCCCCATTTTGTTAGCTAGACCAAAAGTGCTCCACTTTAGCAAACTTAAGGAACTAAAGATGCGTAAGGGTATATATATAAAAGACGGAAGTAGACCTATCCCATGTATATATAAGGACAATATTGGTTAAAAACTCAAAGTAGTTACATGTAAATCTCAATTATAAATATTACTAGGTAACATGATACCCTCAAAATCTTCACATATTCAGTGTTAAATTAATTCTAAGATGTATGAGTTTAACATAACAACGGATAACTGCGGATGAAATTAAATATCCGCCTAAATGAACAACAACAACATACCCAGTCTTATCCTCTTAAATGAACTGATCATTTAATATCAACTAACAACTAGACTCTCCTCCTATCTCAGTTTATATCAACTACTTCGCGAAATTCACATAAACAGTATAGAAATTGATAAATTACTAGTATATGAATATCTGAAACCATATAAAAAAATGTTCCACCACCATTGATCTGATCATCTCCATGTGATATGAAGATCAACACATAAACAATAAAAGGATCAATACCTTGGAGAAAAACGAATCAAAATCAATAACAAGGAACTTATCGAAAGAGAAAAGATTCATGCACCCTTAATTGAACTAAGCTGGTTGATACTATAACTCTATTTTATGCAAAAACATTACTGTGTATTGATCAGCATCTTAACGACAATTATAGGAGGCTATCATTTTGCAAAAGAGGTCTCTTATCCAGCAATGAGGACCGCAACCAAAATGTAAAAGAACATAAATGAAATAGCTGCAAAGGATTAATACTACATTTTTGTGCCTCCGCCATCCGACATGAGAGATGCAGCTGCTGCAGCTGCAGTAGGAACAACCCCTGTTGACACACCGGGTTTTGACAAATGGAGGAGCCTGAAAGAAAAAATAGAAACCATTTGTATGTCTACCAAATGATAGAAATAAGTAAATAAACTAGTTTCCCCTAACAATATATACCAAAGGCAAATCCAAGATTTAAATTGGTTGGGTTCAACCTTTAGGTTCTGACCCCATTATACTTTTGAAATTATGTGTTCAGATATTTGTTAAAATTTGGTGATTATATATATATGCTCTGCGAAAGTACTAATTCAGTTCAACCCATTATTTAAATACTCCATTCACCTCAGGGTAACAAACCAATATAAAGGTACTTACGGTGCAAGATATTCACAGAAGGACGATACAGCAGCAACAACTTCAGTGTAATTTTCAGATGAAGCAGGTGCTGTCACTTCAACTAGCTGTATGCCCGGTGTCACAGGCACTGCCTCATCAGTTGCATGAAGTTTCAACATCTTGTTGATGGATGAAACTGTAACAGTTATCTGGGCACCTCTTTGGAAATGGAATGCAAAACCAACTCTCAGCTGCTCGTGGTCTAGCTTGTAGCCAAGTGCATAAAACATGCGCAATGCATTCTTGCTTATTTTGCTTTCTATCATCGGTCTCACCAAGACTGAGATTTGTTCAGCACCAGTGCCTCTCATCGGACCACCAACATGTCGAACAGTCCTATATTAATTTCACACAAAAATTTAGGCTTCACATATCGCCAGAGCTAGGTACAGTATGAAACAGATCACTTACCATGTGGGTTCCGGCTGCTCAAGATCACATAAGAGACGTATTTCTGATGCTACTAAGCCTGAGAAGTAACGGACCTCATGGTTATAATAACCCAAGGAGAAAAGTGTGGGAGGGAGAAAAAGGAAAAATGTAAAATGGAGCTTAAGTGGCCTTTTGACAAGAATGAGATGGACCACAAACTAGAAAAAACCAACAATATCAAACAGCTAAGGTAAGAAAACTTCCTATGAATGCATATATGGTTGCAAGCTTTCGTCTCAATCGCATGTGTACATACATGACCACTGAATTAGTGGTTCCTAGTTCCATAGTAGTTTAAGAAGAAAACTCACTTACCTAGGTTTGGAACACTCTTAAGGCACAGTTCATGGATCCTTAAGCTTTGTTTATGTACACCACAAAGCCCTTGAAGCAGAATTTCGAGGGCCTCAACATGCTGCAGATATGGCTAGCACTATCAAAATCTTTTCAATATTCAATTGCCAAATTCCATATTCAATGCCATAAAGTTAGCAGGCAAAGTTTGTACAAGTAGCATACCTTCCTAACTATTAGAGTAAAGAAAAGAGACAGCGAGAGATTTTGTCATCGCTCAGTGGACTTACTTGAGTCTCAATAATTCCCTGAACCACACACTCCATTCCCACTTCAATTTATTCTACCTCACATGCAAAAGAACCTTTTGTAACGCACCTGTGAGTCCAAAAATCAAAAGAAAGTAAGTTGAACTAAAGAGTGAAAAGGAAAACGTTAACACCTAACAAAATTATAAAGGTGTCGTCTACACTCTTCTTATGAAGTGCATTGCCTGAAGATGAAAGAGCAATTGCCTAACAAAGCCCGGAGTTGAGGAAAGTGAAACCAAAATCCTGCACCTACAAACTACTACAAATCTACAATATAGGACTAAATTCCTAATAGCAAAGACATCATATCAGTTATAGATTAAATTGGATCCACCAAATGGCAAATGCTCTCAAAAACATGACTTTCCAGCTAAAAATTCGTTAAAATGACAAATGTTTAACAATAGCATTATCATTTAAAAAACAATTTGACCTCCAAAACAATTTAAGGAAGAAACAGAAAAGGCAAAATGAATCAGAAAAAAAACTGTTGAAAAAAAAAACAAAAAGAGAACAATTAAACGACTAGCAGCTTTCTTTCTCCGGAGCAAATCCATGGGTTTAAGCTCATGATTCCCCCACAACAAATTTGATTTACTGGGTAAGAAATCAATTATTTGTACTTGTTTAGTGAAGTTTTTAGCACATATACAGTTACTGGGTTCGGATAAACCCATAACTTACACTGTACATCCGCCCCTATTTCCCTCCAATTACACCTTGAAAGGGGAAAAAAATCCAAATTTACTTGTAAAAATCACAAAGAAAGATGAAAAATTAAGAGTAAATTAGAGAAAGGCTTTTGTTAAGCAGTCGGAGAAGGACACAAGGAATTGAAGCAACCCAATTCACTATTCCTACTTAAGATAAAAAAAAAATCAGTGGAAAAGGGGATCAGTATTTTTGCTTCATGAGAATTGTGACCCAAAATTAAGTAGAAAAAAATAAAGGGGGTGGGAAGAGGATAGGGTTTTACTCTGTTAAGAAACGAAGAAAAGAAAAATCTGGAGAGGTAAAGTAAGAGAGGAGCGTACAAGGAGTTTGCCGAAGAAGAAGACTATTTAGCACTTGGCAGTAGCGGCTTCCCAAGTGATTTGGGTTTCAAAAGCTCTGCAAAGTCTCAAAATAACAGTGTTTAAGAAAAGTCATGAAATTTTTTCAAATCTTGTGCTCTTAAATTGAAAAGGGCAAAATGGCCAAATATATCCTTGTATTATGAAAAATGTTTAAATATATCCTCCGTTATATTTTAGGTCTAAATATACCCTATCGTAATATTATTGACCGCTTTTAATTGATTTTTAAGGAAAGTTGAACGTCGTTTAAAACGTGTTTTTGGATCACGTCACATGAAATGCACCCGGATCCGTGACACATTTTATTCAACGTTTTGGGATTTGGATTTGGGTCACATGAAATGCGCACCCGAGTTTAGGAAAATAGATTTATTAAAATAGCGCGCCTAAAGCAACTACGCACTTTCAAGTTTGCGATGGCCATGGAAATTTGCTAAATGGCGCGCCTCGAATTATTTCAAAAGGTTGCACTCAACTTAAAGCAAACTACAGATATTCATAATTTGTTGGTTTTACTAAATTTGAGATTGTTTGCAAAGTCATAAACCATGGATTCATAATTGCAACAAGTGGTTATTGCGATAGTGAATCAACCTGAAATTATCATGTGTGCGCTCACATCCATAGGAACTGTACTAACATTTTACACCATAAAAATCTTTTAGGCAACAACGCCATAGGTTCTAATTATCTAGTCATTGCACAAGCATGAGCAAACTTGAGGGAGTATTCCGATTATTGCTAAGCAGCCCTTAATCATTGAGCTTAACCACACTTTATGAGTAAAACAAGTATAGTGACTAAAAACAACACTAATACGTCTATTGTCCATCTTTTGCATTTGTAGTTGTACATTGAATACATGTAAACAACGGCCTTGACTTCTCTTTTATGATAAGCAAACAATCAGTTAACTTCATACAAAATCGAATAAAACAACACTTCTATTGAACTAAACATGATTCATACAGCGGACATCACCTATATCTTTATACATCGTGTCCAGACTTTGATTTTTTTTNTCCGCGAGGGTGTTTGGTCGCGGTTCTACCGCGACCGCGGCAGAACCGCGGCAGGCGTAGAAACTTCAGGGACCAAAGTGTCAATTACGGGATTTTTAGACCTAAAACCTATTTAAAACACTAGACTTCGCCCAAGAGAGGCATGTATTGATTTTTTAGGTTTCTTAGCAAGGAAAACCATTGTGAGAAAATACTCTAAACATCTTTCTTCTTTTCTTTTAATTTTATGATGAATTCAAGTGTAGTTTATTCTCCCATATCTATGAGTAGCTAAATTCCTTGTCTAAGGCTTTGATGGAACCTATTGGGTGATGAACTTCTTGTTTATGTGAATACAAATTGCTAGTTTAATCTTTATTTGTTCAACTTCGTGTTCGTTGTAGTTAATTGACAGGATCCTCAATTAGCTGTACCTATTTAGTGTGCATAACTTGGAAAAGAGTGCATATTTAGGGTATTGTTGAACAACACCACTCCTAGATTATTAGAGGAATCTATAATTGCGGGTTTAAAAGCGGGATTAGGAATAACGAAGTCTTGGGTGCAATCTAAAGTGAATTGTGATTAAATAAAGCAAGTTAGTGTATCTCGGGGGAGTGCAATAGTAGATTACTGTGATTACTCGGGAGAGATTTGCGGTAAGATTAGCGTTCATGATTGATAGAGATGTGTGGGTAAATTTGTATGAGCATAAACAGAAGGGATTCCATCAATAGGGGAAATCATTGCCTTAGCTTTTCCTCATAATTGTTTACAACCTTATTAATTTAGTTACAGCTATTTAGTTACTTGCAAGCTAGTTGTTAAAGAACACTCAACTGAGAATTTGAATGTTTGAGAAGCTGGTGCTGAATACTTGGTGGGTTTGAAGATAGCGGTTGATAGGTTAACTCTCTGTGGATTCGACCCTGGGCGTAATACTCGGGTTATATTTGCAACGTCCGCAGAGTTCTTTTCTAGAAGGCATAGTTGGGCGTGATCACCAAGAATGTGTTTTACCACTTTTCTTAAAAAATCTAGATGTCGGCATTGGACTAGCATTAAAATCCATAAATACAGAGTGTAAAACAAAAAATCTCTTTCTAGTACCCTGTGGCCAAGAATCATGTGTTTTACCACATATCTTAAAATCTGGATTTCCAGATGTCAGCATTGGATTGGCTTACAAATCTACAAGTACAAAGTCTTTGTAAAACGAAAAACACATCCATAAGCAATTGTTAGGTTAATTATATCCACTACTTGATTCTAAATATTTCCAAGTTCAAAAGCAAAAATCCATGGACAAAAATCAGAAATTGTGCTACGATATTGGTGTAGCTAAGGGCCAAGCCCAGGTTTGCATTAATCTTCAGTATCTCTTCCATGGGGATTTTCATTTTTAGTTGGTGATAATTATTTTTATCTATTTAAATATTGATGATAGAATTATCTCGTGCAAGTTGACCCGAATATCACTACAATGTAGAAAATCATGGTCCAATCTTAGTTTTACTAATTTCATCCCATCGAGTAGGGGCGCCTTTTAGCCTTTTTCTCGACATATAGGTTCCATAGGAGTTTTTTTTTTTTTACATTCCATTTAGTGAGCTTATAGTCAATAAAGTTGATGAAAATCATAAGAGACCATGACGTTACATAACAAATAGAGATAAAAAATATTTGTGGATCCGTCAAAGTATTAATGAACAAAATTATAAGATACTTGTATTGGTGAAAACATGTAATGGATTTCGGACACCACTTGTATCATTTTGAAACAAAAAAACTCTTCCTTTTTGCATGAAATTTGTCTTATTTTTTCACTCTAGATGTCTACACGTAAAAGAATTTTAATTGTTTTAGCAACTACTTCCTAGATAACACTGTGTTATTTTTTGAATTTGCGATGCATCAGGTAAAAGGTAGTCAATTGATGGAGAAGGCTGGGACTGTTGTGCAGTCTGCCAAGGAAACAGCGCAAGAGGTTCGGATTTTGTTAATTATTCATTTATCAATCAAATATGATATTTACACAAATAGCCGATCGAATTTACTGTTTATTAGTATTTTTATCCGATACATAAAGTATATATTCGCTGGCTATTTTTAATTTAAACGGTTGGATGAGCGATTACTTAGATTAGTTCTTCAAAATTCATTTAATCTATATAAATAATTTATTCAGAGCCCGAAAACCTCTTTTTAGAGTTTAAATCCCTTTACCTCAAAATCTTAGTTTCGCACTAGCATCCTGTATATATTAGTCTTTGCAATAAATCTAAATTTTTAAAGCTTATTTATATTAAAAATATTCTTTTTAATTTTGGTGATATTTTGATATAGGTGGGGCAGCAAGTGAAGACCATAACACTAGAAGCAGCAAATGCCGTTAAAAATGCCACTGGCATGAAGAAATAAACCACGTTAATTTCTAACATATTATTTATGAAGATCTTAATTTATTCTACTTCAACTGGGCTACTAATTTATGTTGCATAAGTTTGAATTATTGGTCAGGAATTCTGCGTTTCTGAATTATATTTTAGAAGCAGCGTCTGTAATAATATTGTAATAATGTTTCGTTCCTAATTATAAATGCATATATAGCGGCACTTGCAGTAGCTATTAGGGGTGCCAATGGTTCGGTTCGGCCGATTATTTTATAAAATTTGTACCTTTCCAAATNGTGGGGTATTGGAAAGAAATAGATTAATTAGTAGATTGTGTATCACGCATATATCTTTAATAATTCATATCATATTCAAAAAAAAAAATAAGTAAAAAACACGTTGATTATATCAAATTTGGAGGCCCCAATAATTTTAGTTCATCATGGGTAGGGACACTATTGCTGAGATAATAACTTCTATACGAAATGCTGATATGGATCGAAAAAGGGTGGTTCGAATAGCATCTACTAATATTACCGAAAATATTGTTCAAATACTTTTACGAGAAGGTTTTATCGAAAACGTGAGAAAACATCGAGAAAACAACAAATATTTTTTGGTTTTAACCCTGCGCCATAGAAGGAATAGGAAAAGACCCTATAGAAATATTTTAAATTTAAAACGAATCAGTCGACCTGGTCTACGAATCTATTCTAATTATCAACAAATTCCGCGAATTTTAGGTGGAATGGGGATTGTAATTCTTTCTACTTCTCGAGGTATAATGACAGACCGCGAGGCTCGACTAGAAGGAATAGGTGGAGAGATTTTGTGTTATATCTGGTAATCCTTTTAATATCCAAATTGGATTCGAAACTTCCTATTTGTGAAAAAGAAAAAAGGGGGGTTGTCTAATATCTTTCTTATTAGTTGATACCTCAAGGGGACTTTAAGAACCAAAAAGGAGTCATGAAGCTTTAATTACTGAATCGCTTCCCAACGGTCTGTTCCGGGTTCGTTTAGATCTGATTATAAATTATGTTTCAGGAAAGATCCGGCATAGTTTTATACGGATACTGCCAGGAGATAGAGTCAAAATTGAAGTAAGTCCTTATGATTCAACCAAAGGGCGTATAATTTATCGACTCCACAACAAAGATTTGAAGGATTAGTTTTTCAACTTCACCATTCCTTTCGTGGGAATACAATTCGAGATGAAAAATTTCAAGAAACTTATTTTCTTCCAAGAAATAGATTCAGAATTAAGGTAAGGAATGATAAATATGAAAATAAGAGCTTCCGTTCGTAAAATTTGTGAAAAATGTCGACTAATTCGTAGGCGGGGACGAATTATAGTAATTTGTTCCAACCCGAGACATAAACAAAGACAGGGATAATCAGACTTGCCAGAAGAGCCGATGTACAAATAAAGAATCTNACAAATATTTTTTGGTTTTAACCCTGCGCCATAGAAGGAATAGGAAAAGACCCTATAGAAATATTTTAAATTTAAAACGAATCAGTCGACCTGGTCTACGAATCTATTCTAATTATCAACAAATTCCGTGAATTTTAGGTGGAATGTGGATTGGAAAAATCCAAACATCTCAGAGATAGATAGGAATTTCTCGAACGAACCCCACTCCCCTGTATACGTCAGGAGTCCATTGATGAGAAGGGGCTGTGGAAGCTTGAACCCAATTCCTACGGTGATGAATAGGAGCGCAATTGAAATTCCTGGGGAGTTATACAACCAAAATTAGACTTTTCAAAACCGTCCCAATCATGTCGGTTTCGCTTCGGTATCGGTACGGTTCGGTAAATATTCTGTAATTTTTTTTAAATGTCATGTAAAAATCACTACTAGAAGTAGAATGCAATAACATACGTACTTTTATAGGACTTAACAAAAATCTCTAGATATTTTTACAGTTTAAAAGGTNTGTTTGGCGCGTCAAAAATCATGTCATGTAAACGTGTCCGTGATTAATAACGCTTTTGATGATTTATTAAGAAAGTTTGGTTGAGGTTGAGCAAACGCATCCCTCGAGTCATTTTAGAGTTAAATTTGCAATTATGTTACGCGAACGTATACATAATCACACTACTAATCTAAATCGAGCCTAAAGCAAGCTACGATGTTTATGAATATTAACGGCCTAAACATGCTCATAACGGTCAAAACAATTGCATAAAGCCAAATGAAGTAACAAACAAAAATAATGCGACAGTAAAAACAAAATGTAATGCTTCATATCCAAACCCAAGCCATATATTAACTTTATTGATCCATGTTTATCAAATATTCAAGTTCTTTTAAGTTTACCGAATCCCAATCCCATGTCCCATTTGCAGCAAATTAAAGTAGTTATCCTTGTCTTCCAATTACAGTTTCATGAATTAACTTCAAACCAAGAATCTCCAACCAACATATGAAATTGTTTACTTCTGCCAAACACTTAATTAGAGCAGTAAAGTAGGACAATGGATATGAAACTTGGACTCCGATTCTTTTAAATCCAAACACAATGTCGCACTATTGATTTGCAGTTCAAATTAATTGGACTACATTAAGGGAAGAAGTCAATAAAGAGCAGAACCAATCGAGCAAAGCCGACAAGCCCATTACTGCAATTTCCGACCAAGAACATTTGGTTTACGTACGACGACTAACACAAAGACATATACAACATATAGTCAGGCTAAGACTCAACACATCAATTCATATATTAAATGCAATTAGAAACTCACAAGTATATAAGGTTTCCAAAATAAGAGAGACGGAAGTCCAAGAAATGAACCTGAGATGTGCTGAAATTTGATTGAAAAAAACAAGCTATGAAATCAGGAACAATAATCGCGACCCTTCAACCTCGAACGACACACGAGAGCTCAAATTCGAATACTACCAAACTCTATTCCTCAGGCGAAGTCCATTTTTTGAGACTAGAGAGTTAGATTTGTGGCTGTTTGAGCAGCTCAGGCTTGGAGATTAAGGGGGGGGGGGCGTCGCTGGAATTTTTGGGATGGAGACGCAGCGGCGATGGTGATGGGGCTGGGGCTGGCGGCGTATTGGCCGGTGTTGAAGGGGTCGGCGGCGATGGTGATGGGGCTCTGCTCTTTTTTGGTTATGGAGAAGAAGAGATCGCTGAAGGTGGGGTCTTGTTTTTCACTGTTGCGGCGCCCCTTTCCGTTTTTCTCCAGGCGTTATTTTTTTTAGTCCCCCCCTTTTAGATTGTAGGCGTTAGTTTTGTAGGTTATTAGATAAGGGTAAAGGGGAATGGGCTTGGGTTGTGTGGGAATTGGGTAGGAAAATTGTGGTTTGGGCTGGTTTTGGCTTTAAGAATGGCCCAATTGCTTAATTTAAAACCCCTATTGCAATTAAATCCTTATTCTCTTTTCTTTTCTTTTTTCTTTAATTGAAAATTCTAGAAATTAAAAATCCTAAATTAATCTATTTTTGTAGAAATTAAAACTCTTTATTTATTTTTAACATTAAAACAACTGATTAACTTAAAACTAAAGAAAAAGTGCTAATTTTAAAGACTAAACGATAAATATGTAAAAATGACAATTTTTGAGGATTTTCCTATGATTAAAAAAAATGTTAAAAATGCATGAAATGCAAATAAACAAAGAAAAATTCCTAAAATTAACAAAAACTATTTTTGGACTATTTTTAGGAGTTATTTTCATGTAGGGCAAAAATCACGTGCTCACAAACGTTTTGGGATTTGGATTTGGGTCACATGAAATGCTCACCCGAGTTTAGGAAAATATTTTTATTAAAATAGCGCACCTAAAGCAACTACGCACTTTCAAGTTTGCGAGGGCCGTGGAAATTTGCTAAATGGCGCGCCTCGAATTATTTCAAAAGGTTGCACTCAACTTAAAGCAAACTACAGATATTCATAATTTGTTGGTTTTACTAAATTTGAGATTGTTTGCAAAGTCATAAACCATGGAGTCATAATTGCAACAAGTGGTTATTGCGATAGTGAATCAAACTGAAATTATCATGTGTTCGCTCACATCCATAGGAACTGCACTAACATTTTCGACCATAAAAATCTTTTAAGCAACAACACCGTAGGTTCTAATTATCTAGTCATTGCACAAGCATGAGCAAACTTGAGGGAGTATTCCGATTATTGCTGAGCAGCCCTTAATCATTGAGCTTAACCACACTTTATGAGTAAAACAAGTATAGTGACTTAAAAACAACACCAATACGTCTATTGTCCATCTTTTGCATTTGTAGTTGTACATTGAATACATGTAAACAACAGCCTTGACTTCTCTTTTATGATAAGCAAACAATCAGTTAACTTCATACAAAATCGAATAAAATAACACTTCTATTGAACTAAACATGATTCATACAGCGGACATCACCTATATCTTTATATATCGTGTCCAGACTTTGATTTTTTTTAGGAACAAAATTAGCTTGAAACTGATTTACTTCAGCTAATTTGGAATTCATAAATATGTTATTATCACAACCAAGTAGACTAACATATAAGTTCAAACCAACAGGAATTTGTATTAAATTTCATTCCATTTAACCAAGTATTACAAGCTTAGGAATATGTATGTACCTGTTTGAAGCAAGAGCGAGAACGGCTCGACTGAAAAACAAAATAGAGCGAAATGCTTCAGCAACAATTAGCAATTCAGACCTCAAAAAACGAAGAAGAAATCAGCGGACCAGCAGCACAACAACGAAAATCAGCACACAAAAACCATGAACTCTACTTTCACAGCTTGCACAAACCAGAAAGAAGAAGTCGGGTCTTGAAATCGATTTTCGTCAAAGTCTTTGTAAAACGAAAAACACATCCATAAGCAATTGTTAGGTTAATTATATCCACTACTTGATTCTAAATATTTCCAAGTTCAAAAGCAAAAATCCATGGACAAAAATCAGAAATTGTGCTACGATATTGGTGTAGCTTAGGGCCAAGCCCAGGTTTGCATTAATCTTCGGTATCTCTTCCATGCGATTTTCATTTTTAGTTGGTGATAATTATTTTTATCTGTTTAAATATTGATGATAGAATTATCTCGTGCAAGTTGACCCGAATATCAGTACAATGTAGAAAATCATGGTCCAATCTTAGTTTTACTAATTTCATTCCATCGAGTAGGGGCGCCTTTTAGCCTTTTTCTCGACATATAGGTTCCATAGGAGTTTTTTTTTTTTTACATTCCATTTAGTGAGCTTATAGTCAATAAAGTTGATGAAAATCATAAGAGACCATGACGTTACATAACAAATAGAGATAAAAATATTTGTGGATCCGTCAAAGTATAATGAACAAATTATAAGATACTGTATGGTGAAAACATGTAATGGA